CTGGCTTTATTTCACTAAGGAGCATTTGACCACTTCCTGGGCAAGCCTTACATCATGAGTCACAGTGCCAGCTGTGAATGGCTTTATCTTTCCCATCTGGGACAGTTTTCTGATCCCCACATGTCTTGTCTAGTAAAGAGGAGGAAAAGAAGGTGTCTGAGTTCATTCCTCCTGCTGTTGATTTTCTTTTGCTTCACGTATTCCTCCTTTCATAGTACTTGTTAAGAAAGCACAAAAAATTAGGTGGAGCTAGGGAAACTGTAGCTGGCGAGAGTATTTTTCCAGAGGCCCTGCAGGAATCAGCTGGTTGGTACAAAGGATTTAATTGGAGATTGTTTAATAAAGGGACTATTTATAGAGGTGCAAACAAAGTTAAGGGAACCCAACAAGGAATGGTGAAGACGAGGGACCAGCAACAGCAAAAAGCTAATACTCAAAGGAAGATGGTGTTACTGGACCCCTGTGAGAGCTGCAGCTGTGTAAAGGGGCCACTTGAAAGTAGTTGTGGCAAAGAGGATGCAGCCACTGCAAAAACCATGACCTGGCAAAGGTGTGCAGGGGAGTACATAGATTGACCTCTCTCTCCTCCTGCCCGCTAATCTCCTGCCAGCGCGGCCCATCAACCAAACTCAGTTGGAAGCCAGAGAGCAAGAAAGCCCAGGTGATGCAGTCCGCAGATGTCAGCCTCTCAGGGCACAAAGCAAGGCAAAGGAGGGTGGAGAATGTAGGGACAAACAGACAGTAACCACCACACAGTTAACATTTGAAAGTTTAAAAAATGGTCCACTTACCCACAAAGCAAACAACTGTATGGGCTTATGTGTGCATCAAAAGAAAATTATAGTACCTTTTGGAAGTTCAATAAATAGATGGCTTAGAGGGCATCTGGTTTCTCATCTCACAATGAATGGGGTTTAGATTTTCTTTCCCCACCCTTTCACATCCTGTCTCCTTACTCTACATTCTATGTCTATGTCAGAGACAATAAAAATCTGTGTCAATGTGTACATAGTTCTAGAATCACAGATTTTTAGGAAGGCCATCTTGTTCAATGAGCCCTCTCTCCTCCCCCTGCCCGAACCCTCTCCTCCACTCACATCAGGAAATCCTTCAGATGGCATTGCTGACAGGTTACCTAATCTGGTTAAATACCTTGGAGACAAACTGTTTACTTGCTTCTGAAGGAAACTTCTATTATTGAGCAACTCTTAAAAAAATTTCTTAACTCGGCTAAGCCAAGTCTGCTTCCCTATAACCTGCAACCATTAGCCCTAGCTCTGCCTGTTGGCGTAAAGTAGCAAAGCAATGACTAATCAAAAGCTAGGCATCCAAGCAAAACATTCTTGAAAATGTTATGAAACTCCTGATATAGCTCCAGCATTTTGCAAGAGAACCGAATCCAGGCTTTTGATATGTTTTCCAGGCTCTCCACTAACTTGCCAATATCTCATCTAAATTCAGGGTGTTCCACATGTGGTCTGCCCAGCAGGGGACAGGGGTTCTGGTTATTCCCCTTGATCTGAACACTGTGCTTCTATGAGTATAACCCAGAAGTGTGTTTATTTATCTAGAAAAACATTGCACTGTTGGCACACACTGAGTTTGTTATCACTAAAACCCTAGTTGTTTTCATATGAACTTCTATTTAGTCAGACATCCCTTATGCAGTACTTTTGCAGACATTTATGTCTCTTGTGATTTTCTACTTCCCCACCTGATCTGTGGATTCCTTCAGCACAGCAATGTTCCATTTTTACATCCTCTGTACCTGGCACTGCACCTGATACATAATAGGTATTCAGTAAGTTTTTATTCAATTAAGCTAATTAAATTATTGAATTAGATTTTCTTCTTTATTTCAACCCAAGATTCCAGTCTCAAGATAACTTTGAGTCTTGATTTAGCCATTATTAATTTTGATATTCCTACATGTTTTATGCCATCTATAGATGTGATAAGTACAATAGTTGACTTTAAATAACTTATCTGAATTAGAGACTGTGGCTTGGTGGTCTGACAAGAGCATCTTCTTCCCAGATTTGCAACTGCCTTATTAAACTGTTTAAATTGAGGCATTTAGGTCTCTCTGTCCCCTTTCTTTAAGATGAAAACATTAGTTTTTACCATATGCTTTTTTAAAGATCCTTGATAAGGATCAGATATATTGTGATTTTTAATATATTTACATCACATAATTTTATAATTAAATAGAATCCTGCAATGATTCTTAAAGTTATACTCGAATTCTGATATCTGTAACCAAATGTCTTATTTTATAACTATAAATCGTAGACATAATATATCACCTCTATTCAATGGGTTTGGATACTGTTTTGCTCTTCTGCTCCTAAAAAATCACAACAATATTTATCAAAAAATTTCCTCTTGTTAAGTGACAAATTTTATCAAAGTTAGGTCCTTAAAGGGCAACTTGAAAGTTTAAATTCACTCAGTTTAGCTTATAACTTCAAGCCAATTCAGCATCGTCTGTACCGTTTGGTAATGTTTTCATTCTCCTGAAGTGTTTTGTTAAATGGGGTCTGGAATCCTAGATTCTCATATGCTGCTATGGAGCAAAATCAACTCAAGACTAGAGTGAAAGTGTTGGGTCAAGAAGGTGAGGAAGTTAACTGAGGACAAGGACTAGATACTTTGAGGGAGAAGAATAGGGATACAGTGACATTGTTGGTATAGAATTACTAGCTAAAGATGACAGGGGAAGAGAAACAGCATAAAATTTAACAGGAAATGTTTGCAGCACTCAAAAACCAAAAAAAAAAATCTGAAAACAGGAAACCAGGAGATTTAGTGATACTTTGTGTTTCTTCCTCCTGATCTACTCTCACCCTCTCCACTCTATTCTGTTCCCTGAGAGGGTGATCTGTAAGGACTACATTAACTGCCCTCTGACATCTGACTGGGTTCAGCCATTGGGGAACCCTGAGTGGAGATCGGAGGCAGGAGGAGAGTGAGGTTGGAATACCTGTCTCCCTCCCATTCTTCCTCCCTTCAGGCCTCAACTCAGGGTCATAGCAGCTGTCGGACTGCCTTCTCCACAGTTTTCTCTTTCTCTCTCTCTGGATTCCAGTAACTCTCTCCCCTTCAAGCTTGGGTACTGCACTAGCCCTTGTGTTTTCCCCACACCCTGCACGCATCTTTGTAAATAGCTTTTTTTTGCTTTGTTTTTTGTTTTATTAAATCACCCAGTTGGAGTGCACCATCTGTTTCCTGCCAGGATCCTGACTGACACTCAGTATCCCACTGAGTAAAGACTATTAATGTCTAAACAAACGTTTACTGAGTAACTGCTATGTGACAAGGAGGAATGAAACGGCAAATTGGAGTTAATGCTCCTCAAGCGGCAGTCTGGGGAGGGGAGACAGCCACAGGAACACATCACTATCATACATCTTGGTAAGTGATGCAGCGAGGCACCAGATGGGGAGGTCTGTAGGGGTGTAAAATAGTCAGGGGCATGGGCTAACTCAGGGAAGTTTTCTTGGTAGAGATGAGTTTTAAAGTTGGGCAAATTTAGAGGCAGAGACATGGATAGGGAGAGGTCAGGAGCTGAGAAAGAAGCTTATAGCCAAGAATATTTCAGGACAGTCAGGTAGGCTGGGCCAGATGACAGAAAGCCTTGTAGGAGGGGGAGGGCTCCTCTTCCATATGCTTACTTTCTTTCTCCACTAAGGGAAAAATAATGACACAGGTGAAGTCTGCAGCCTCTCACTATTAGCACTTAATCCTGCCCCACCACCGGGGGCTTGACACTCATACTGCCTTGCTCTAAAACCTGCCCTTTCCATTGAAAATCACCCTCACGTACTTCATGAACATTCAAGGGTCTTTCAAAATAGCAACAAGACAATCTAGTAAACTAGTACTTAGAGATGAGCTACCAGGAAAAGGCAAGAAGTTAACGCCCTCCAATGGATTCTAGAAGGCCGGCATCCAGAGCCTTTTTTCTTTAAAAGTAACAGACGCCACTAACACTTTTTATGACCAATCATGAAGGGAGAGAGGGCAGAGAGCAAGTTTCAGTTCATCAAGGTGGGCTTTGGTGCAAATAAGGTCGGCATAAAGGTACTTTTAAGATCTGGTTTATCATTTTATAGGCAAGTCCAGGGTCCAGGGGGTCCTTGTCTTTCCTCTTTAGACTGCAAACTGAGCAGTTTCCTTGCTGTTGCTGTTAGGTGCTGTGGTGTCAGTTCTGACTCATAGCGACCCTGTGTACAACAGATGGAAACACTGCTAGATAAGGTCAAGTCCACTGCTGCCCCGTACCACACTACAGGTTCCTCCTTGGCACATCCTTGGCATCAGAGACAGTCAAGCCTCTAGGACTGGGGCTCAGGAGGCTTCATTAATCAAAATCAGACGCACACACATCCCCAGTCAACGTATCCTTTCTTCTGTTAACCAAGTGCGCGCACCACTGCCCTATTCAGCCCCATCCACCCTCCCACCCACCACCCCCCCCCACACACACACGCACACAGAGATAAGGAAGAGACGGGAATTGTTTAGAAAAAGTAAAAAAAATAAAACAAAAAACGTTTGCTGTCAAGTCAACTGCGACTCATAGTGACCCTACAGGACAAAGTAGAACTGCCCCATTCAGTTTCCAAGGAGCACTTGGTGGATTTGAACTGCTGACCTTTTGGTTAAGCAGCCGTAGCTCTTAACCACTACACCACCAGAGTTTCCTCAGAGAAAGTGGTGTCTAGGAAATGCTCTGCACGAGTAACTGAACGGTTACTTAAGCCCTTGGCGACCTCGGATGTCCGGGCCAGGGAGAGGGCCCGCGCAGTAAGAGCTCTCGGCTGCCGGAGATCCCGAGGGTGGGGCCCGTTTCCGAGCGAAGGGCCAGTGCCTATCCCCGGGAGGCCCATCCCCAGCAGGCCCGCGAGAAAACCGGCGGGCCCCACCCCCTGGGCGGAGACAGCTCCAAGAAGTCGTCGCCCTGGTCGCGCCGCCAGGCTCAGAGGCTGCTGCCGCCCCGCCGAGTTCCTGTGGCTGCTGCGGCTCGGAGTATGGGGCGCTGATGGCCATGGACGGCTACAGAGGCTTCTTGGGGCTGCTGGTGTCAGCACTGCTCGTCGGCTTCCTGTCCGTGATCTTCACTCTCATCTGGGTCCTCCACTACCGGGAGGGGCTCGGCTGGGACGGGACCGGGCTCGAGTTTAACTGGCACCCGGTGCTCCTGGTCACCGGCTTCATCTTCATCCAGGGCATCGGTACTGGTCACCTCCTGGGAGACGGCGGGAAGGACAGTGCGGGCCGGGGGTCTCCGACCGAGAGGCGACTGAGTGGAGCTGACGTGGGCGAGTGAGGGGTGGAGGTCGGGAAGCGCGCGGGGGAACTGAGTCGGAGGTGCGCGGCTGCGGGAGGGAGGTGGGCGGGCACCGCCGGGCCGGGGGTCGAGAGGCAGCAGCAGAGACCGGGTTCGAACCGACAGGGAACGGCTCGGGAGTCGCGGCGCTGGGCGGGGCGCGCGGGGACCGGGGGTTCGGCTGGGTCCTAGGGCGAAGAGGGCCAGCGGGAGCGAAGCTGGACCCAGACGCGCGGTCCCCGCTTGGTTAACTCTTTGCAGCAAGTGGGTGGGACGTCTTTGAGGCGCACTAGCGACACCACCAAGAGAGAGGCCGGTGCGCCACGCAGCCGGGCCCCTTTCGGCCTCTCGCCGCCTAAAATCGCCCCCAGTGGAACGATCTGCGCCATCGAGGGCGCGGAAACAATCTTTAGGCGAGGCGTTTCGTTGCAGTTGCTTTCAAGGCTGCAAGGCAACGGGGAAAAATGCAGGGACAAGAGTCATTGCCTTGTCTTGTAACATCCTCAGATTTGCCCTGTGTGAAGGGGCAGGCCAGTCGGTACCCGGGGTGAGTGAAGCATCCGCTACAGTTTTCACTCCTCCTGAAGCGTTAAACTGCTAGGACTCCAAAGGGTGTTTCACTGCCCTGCTTGGTCATTGGACAGTCTTGTATCCAACTTGTTTATGGAGCTGTTGACTGGCGAAGTTCCTCTGACGGGTTTCCTGTTGGGCCCTGGCCGCGATCTTGGTCCTGGGTCCTATAGGGCCGGAGATGCCCCAAGATTCCAAGAGGGGACCCGCGGCTGCATCGCTCTGAGAGATGTTTCTGTTCGGGACTGACTTTCCTGGGGTTTGCTGCGTCCGCGTCTGGCCACGAGCCAGCCCCCGGCTTGCATTCTTTGGGCGGAGGGAGGGCTCCGTCGATGGCAGTTTCTGTTGTCGTTTGTGTAGCGCCTCTCAGAATGTCCCAAAAGTTTCCTTCGGCTGCTGTTTGGCTGGAGGAACTTAATAGGTAGTGGTGCAAGCGCCATTTGTTTATACTCACTTTCCAAAAAGTGAAGTCAAGGCCTTGGCAGAAGAAAGTATTAGAAAAAAGTAGAAAGTGGTGAACGGAGTTTATGTCGCAGAAAGTAACGAGAAGATAGAAAGGGTTCGGGAAGAGGTGTCCACTGGCTGGGACCTGTAGCCTCGCCTCTGAGCAGGCTCCCTTTTTCCCACCAACATTCAACTCACTACAAACAAACGAACCAACAGAAAAAGGCCGACATCATTCCTAAAGAAAACGTTTTTGTTTCTGCTTAAAAGTGTGCTGCAGCCTTCAGGTGGCGTGGCCACCATTCTTAGACTCTGATATGTAGTGAAAGACATTACTAACGCTCAGAGGTTGTTCCGAGGCTTTCCTGGCATGCACGGGATTGGCATCAGGGCGTGAGTTCCGCTGCTCATCCAAGTTATTTCCTTGGATAATTCCCACCAGTTTCGCCACTAAACAAAAATGAGAAAAACACACTCAAGTTCCAAAAGCTGTAACAAGAAGCACACTTTCCTCATGGTGGAACCATTAAGCGTGGCCAGAGCTGTCAACACCTTCTGTTTGCTCCAAGGAGTAGGAACAGTCTCTTCCTCCGTTCCAGTCAACTCTTCAGAGCACCTTTTAATACCAAGAAACTTTCCAGACGTTCTGGAATGTTTCTCCTCATAATTCAGGGTAAAAGAAATATGGGTGATATTGCTTATTGCCTGAGTTACCAAACAGGACAAAGTTACAAAATAATGGCTGACATTTATTAAGTGCTTTCAGTGTGTCCGTTATGTGCATTATCTCACAGGTACATAAGAGTAAACTGAGGCACACAGGGGTTAAATAACTTACCCAAGGAAATAGTATTAGTCTTTTCAGTGGCCTTATTTTCAAGGTCTGTTTCTTTGCTTTTATGGCAATATACTTATTTTCTGCAAAACATTCTTTTTTTTAGAGAAGCAAAAGCTTTTTCTAAAATATACTTTGAAACTGTTCATTCATGTTAGAGTTCATTACAGTTTTCCTAAAAGGTTTTCTAATTTCCCTAAACTTTGAACTTTTCTTATTCTGTTTATACATATTTTGGAGAAAAATATGAAAATACCTACTTTGAAAATTTTCATCTGCTGCTTTCATGCAAACCTTGTTTTCTTTAAGATTAGTTCCTTTATTTGTATTAATGCTCAAGTATTTGTCCTGTCAGCATTGCCCATCCTGTTTACTGTTTGGATCCTGGATTTGCAAAGCACTTTTAATTACATAACACATTTAATTGACATTAACATAAACTTTTACATACATATAGACACATGCATAGTTCTCCCCACTGCTTCCAAATCTTGGCCCACCCCCAACTCCTCACCCCAAGCGATAGGAGGGCTCCAGTGGAAGGACTTGTTGTCGTTGGGTGCCATCAAGTCGATTCCGACTCATAGAGACCCCATGAGACAGGGTACAACTAACTGCCCGATAGGATTTTCTAGGCTGTAATCTTTATAGGAGCAGATCGCCAGTTCTTTCTCCTTCGGAGCTGCTGAGCGGGTTCAAACCACCAAACTTTTGGTTAGCAGCCAAGTGCTTAACCGTTGCACCACCAGGACTAGGAGTGAATAATTGACTTTATAGATTGGGAGGTAAACATGTTACAGACTAGCCACATTACAGCAGGCTTTTACTGTGTGTTATTGCTTCAGGGAGGAAAATTTAGGCTGTGCTATTTCAGATCTTCAGTAATGAACGTGATGTAATTGAGTTCTTCTGTGATATACAGACTGTTTGGAGATGAGGAAGAGAAGGCTAAAGTAAGTTATTACTCTAAGCCTAAAATGCCTTACAAATGCAATATACAAGCAGTAAACAGTATTTGAAACTGTAGGAGGACAAGTATGAGTCCTTTCAAACACCTTGAAGAAGTAAGTTCTGAAGAAAGCAAGACTAACATAAAAAATTACAAAATAAAAGTCTCCCTCTCTCTTTCTATACCGACACACACACAAACACACATACACACTCCAAGTACATTTTAGAAAATATATGTGCTCCAAAAGAAGTACAGTAGACTGTGGGAAACCTAAAACTAAACTAACATGTAAAATCTACTTGGAAATCTAAGTAACAGACTCTGACATGAATGAGGAAGCGTTTCAAAGAGAACTTTAGAAGAGGCTTTGTGCTTCTCTAAAAGGAATGTTTCACATGAAATAAGCATACTGCCAGGAAATCAGAGAAACAAATCTTGAAAAGAAGCCCACAGAAAAGACGCTCTCAATGTGGCAGATGACCTTTTAAAAGGTTCAGCAAGATGGAATGTGTTCTTTAGTAAAAGGTAGAAAATTCAGGTATCTCAATTTAGCAAAAAGAAATCTTGGCAACCCTGTACTCTTTATTTTCCCACACGTAGACCTTCTTCAGTTATATAAACTGAAGGAAGAGAAATTGAATAGTATAATGACCTCAAGTTGGTTTTGTGAAAGAATGTAACTGCATTTGAGTAACATTTAAAATAAGAGAAAGAAATTAAAGAGTAGGTCTAAAAAGGCAGTTGAGATATCCTATTAACATGTCTCAATGTGACCAAATTCCAAGACTGCTATATTTGAAAGGGTCTTGGGGTAAAACCTGGCAAATAAGACATAGAGACACTCATTTCAGAAAGTGACCCAAATACCTACTCCAAAACCAGACTTGGGGACACAATTGATAAGAAGCCTATCAATCTTAGGGAAATGAGGGTTTTTACAAAGCATTAAGAGACAATTCAAGGTACTCAGAACACCTTTTTATAAATAAATTCATGCAATTCTCTTTAAAATGTAATTGTTTTACTCATTATTGTATCCCTAGCACCTAGAATAGCACTAGAACTGACACATGGTAGGCCAAAAATAGTTGTTGAATGAGTTAAGTGATCATTTATGTACCATATAGTTAGGAACAAAATGCAATTTTACAGCTACTCATTTGTGAAGATAACAGCAGATCTAACATAAAAGTTCCCCTGCCCCCCTCCCTGAGCAGAATTCTCAGAACCACTGGCTTAGTCAATCTCAGGGAAGAATGGGCATTGTATTGCACTGGAAATGCATCTTTAATCTAAGGCATCAATCTCAGTAGAAGGTTACTACATAAATACTCTCAGTGCTCCCTCTTACCTACCCAAGAACATCACTTCAGCAATTCTCCCTTGTTTCTTTTGCATCATTAAATTCTTCCCCCATTGGATTATTTCCAACATGTTATAATTTCTATTATCTTTCAAAAACCACACGCTTGACCCCATATCCTTCTCCAGCTACTGCTCCATTTCTCTGCTCCCCTTACTACAAACTTTTCGCATGTTTTGTCTATACCTGCTGTCTCCAATTCCTCTTCTCCTATTCTCTCTTGAACCCACTCCAGTTAGGAGTTCACCCCACTGCTCGACCATATTTGCTCTTAACATAGTAACCAATGGCTTCCACATTGCTAATTCCAATGGTCAATTCTCCGTCCACATCTTTCTTGACCAAAAGGCAGCATTTGATATAACTGATCCCTTGCTTCTCCTCGGGACACCTTCTACACTTGGCTTCCAGAACACCCCACTCTCTTGGTCCTTCTCCCTCACTGGCTACTCCTTCTCAGTCTCCTTTGCTGGTTCCTCCTTATCTCCCTGATGGCTTAAGGTTAGAGTGCCCAAGGCTCAGTCTTCTGACCACTTCTTTCTCTCTGCACTAATTCCCTTGGTGAGCTCATTCAGTCTCTTGGCCTTAAATACCATATATACAGTGAACCTTCCCATATTTATGTCTTCAGCCCAGATCTCTCCCCTGAAATACAGACCCAAATATTCATTTACCTACTCAAACTGTCTACTTGGATGTCAAACAGACTTGCCCAGATTTCAAGTCTTCCTCCTCCCCCCA